GATGAGTGTGTTAATTGCATGTATTATCGTAGACATACAGATAATACCTTAGGTAGCCGTTTACGAGACTTGTTATTTTAATGCTTTATTCATACTTGGTTTGCATAGACATATAGTGAATCGTTTATGAATAATAGACTCATAATACACGCGACAGCGGGTTATGAGTAATTTCGTGTCTTGGGTTAATAATCGGGAATCGTAACTTGCATGATAGAGGTTTAATTGGGTGAAGAATTATCGCATAGGGGGAAGATAAAATCCTTGATCCGTTCTTATATTGATACTTTCTCGTATTTATTTGCTTTCGTATTTAGTTTAATTAATTAGTTGAATAATTTGACTACCTTGCATAGGCTGGATAAAAATCGTAATTGTTAGAATTTGGTACTTAGGATTAGGTAATTTGAGTATTCCCTGTGGGATCGACATCCGACTCTCACGAGTCCACTTTACTACTTGTTTGCGATACGTGCACTTGCGTGTTAGGTATTTAGCCCCAACAGTATTCTTTATGGGAGATCACCTATTTAAGTGTGAAGTATAGGGCCACTTCAATGAAACACTTATGAATCCAAAAATTGGTCCAAGGCCGAAATGGACACAACGTGAGAACAAAAGACGTTAGAGATGTTATTGTGTAAGTGTTGTTGTCTTGGTTTACGTAAAAGTTGATTAGTTCAAGACATCGCGTTCACTAAGCAACAAGTAAATCCGATAACATTTTACTAGGGAAGGTTCAAAGCCATAAGCTACCTCTCCCGATGCAATAACAAATCGCTTGGACTTTGAATGTGTCTGCATGCATTAATTTCATTCATGTGGGGGATTGTTGGAAATTTTGAGTATTTGACTCAAATTTTGTTGAATATTTAAGTGGTTTAATTTAAATTCTCAAAATTAATTTTTGATGAATGATAAATTAATGGATCATTTAAAATATTTAAGTGTGGAAAATAATAAAGTGAAATATCACTATTGAAAAATATGGAGGTGTTTAAGCACCTATTAAATTGAATAGGTGTGTGGTTAATGGGAAAAGGTGTGATAGCTTTTCATGAAATTATTTTCCTAAGAGTTGTGACTTGTGGTCATAACCTTTGAAAATCTATAAATAGATTCCAAAATCCACCATTTGAAATAGTTCATTATTCACATGGAATTCAATACATTAATTGAATTCACTTATCGTCATAACATATCATTGCATATTGTTGCATTACCAAGTCCTTTCTTCGTGTCTTATAAAGTCCTAAACGTCGTTTCGTTCGCCGTGTTCCAATAATTGTTGTGCTGCTTTGTTGGAACTGAAATAGTCGTTGTATCTTGGGAGATAATTGCCGTAAACCGAGAGCACTGCACGGGGCAAATTTGTCTTAAGGAGAAATAACCTAGTTCTTGCCTCGACTACATTTTTCTTGTCAAACTTCTGTCCAAATTTTGTTCGTTCCCATTTCAAAATACACACACCCATATAACAAGGTCTACATGTCCAAATCAACTGATGTACTCCTTGACAGGAGTTTAAAAGATCTACAAGTCCAAATCAAATCAAGGCTCCTTGATACGAGCATAAACTATCTACTTATCCTAACCAAATCAAGGCTCCTTGATACGAGCATAAACTATCTACATATCCAGATCAAGTCAAGGCTCCTCGATACGAGCATAAGATATCTATATATTCAAATCAAGTCAAGGCTCCTTGATATGAGCATAAACTATCTACATATCCAGATCAAATCAAGGCTCCTCGATAGGAGCATAAAATATCTACATATTCAAATCAAGTCAAGGCTCTTTGATATGAGCATAAAATATCTATATATCCAAATCAAGTCAAGGCTCTTTGATATGAGCATAAAATATCTATATATCCAAATCAAGTCAAGGCTCCTTGATACGAGCATAAACTATCTACATATCCAAATAAAGTCAAGGCTCCTCGATACGACCATAAACTATCTATATATCCAAATCAAGTCAAGGCTCCTTGATACGAGCATAAACTATCTATATATCCAAATCAAGTCAAGGCTCATCGGTACGAGCATAAACTATCTATATATCGAAATCAAGTCTAGGCTCCTTGATACGAGCATAAACTATCTACAAATTCAAGTCAAATGCTCCTTCAACACGAGCTTAAACTGCAAATGCTTCTCCTTGCCCACATGTGTATAAACTGTGCACGACATCCCTCAAAAGGATATATTTTGAACTACGTTATGACTTTATCCCTTTATAGGGTACGTAGGCAACTTAGAATCTCTCTAAGTTCAGTCAGGATTTCAAAAGATATATGTGCTTTGCTAGATCAAGCTGCAATTGAAGTTGAGCAATTATCGAGACTCATTGACTCTAAGATGCATTGTCCGTGAACCAGTCTCGAGGAGGCATTTGTAGAAGCATTGAATTAATTAATTGGTTAATTAAATTAGCCAATTAAATTGTGTCTAAATTAAATTATAATTTATCTTGCAAAATAAGTTATGGAGATAATTATCAATTAATTATTGGCCAATAGGATTATTTTTTCTCTTCCAAGTTATAAGAGATAAATATAAATTTAAAGAGAGCCAATCAAATCGCGCCGTGTCATCAAGAAGACTTTATGTAGGACTCTTATTCTACCACTATAAATAGGGACCCTCTATACACAATTCAAGACACAACTCAAGAAGAAGAAAACCGTAGGAGAAAAATCTCTCTACAATATTCAAGTCGTTCTTCATCAAATTCAAGGCGTTCTTCATCAAATCGAGGGCGTTCTTCAACAAATCAAGATCGAAGGAAGATTGAAGGGCCAAATCCATCAAGAACTCCAAGATCTTCAAGTCAAAGCTCGTCAAAGTTCAGCGTTCAATCCGAGATTCAAGTCGCAAGACCCTCGGAAGACGTTATTCAAATCCAAATCAAATCCAGAGAAGATCAAGTCAACTACCCGACTCCGAAATTCAAAGTCAACATATATTGTTCTTGAGAGAAGAATCAGAGGATTAAATTAGAGTTTGTAACCCGCAATATTTTATTTTAATTCAATAAATTTTATTTGTGCAAGTATTTCTTGTTTGTTTAAATCGCAGATAAGATTTTGTTGCTACATGCGGACTTAAAGCGCACTTCTTTGCCCCGAAAGGGATGGCCTAGCAGTTGGATCAAGTGAGCATGTGACAATTAACTTAGATTCAAATCCTCTTGTTAACAGTCGCTAGGTCGAGTTTGTGACACATGATTAGCCTAGTGTAGTTTACGTCTCTCGCATAGTTTGCAAGCTACTATACGAAAATGTAGGTTTACCCGATACACCTATATAGTTGACTATGAGTTCTTTCATTACAAAAAAAGCTTACCTCTTTGTTTAAAATATTGATTCATTAACTTTGATAACCATATATATATATATATATATATATATATATATATATATATATATCTAAAATATTTGTTCATTATGAAGTAGTTTTCTCAATTTATTTAGCCCATTAAATTATTTTTTATGTAATTCCCCAAGTCCAAAAATAAAACCATCTTACACAAATTAACTTTGATAATCATATATATATATATATATATATATATATATGTGTGTGTGTGTGTGTGCGCGCGCGCGCGTGCGCACCCGTGTGTGTGTTAGATTTATTTGTCTGTGAAAATCTACTGTGCTGTTGAGACAGATTATTGTTAAGGCATTGACTATGTTGCAACATATTTTCGTGTGATATAAATAAATTTACTAATGGAATCCAAATGATCTCTGGATTGATCAGAAGATCCTTTCAGTTGGCTAGAATCGTTACTTGAACGAAACTGGATCTTGTGGAATTATATTGAATATTGGACGATATATTATGTACCTTTCTAAAAAACCGATCCTTATTTACCAACCACACATTGTCTAACCAAATCAAATTATCTCTTGATACGTTCCTCACAAAATCCGATTCGTGTGGATTCTTCCCCCAACTAACGAAGAGATCTTGGCGAAATTGCCATATATGAAACTGAGCATAATTTTGCAAAGAAATAGCCCCCTTGTTTCTCGAGAAGAGATGGGAAACATGCTCAATATCATTTGATTGAATAGTTGATCCAGTCCTTTGTTGTTTGAAGAAACCCTCCACTTCGTTGGTATTTTTTCATGAAAAGCAGACATGAGATAAGAAATCCCGTGTTTGACTAAGATTTCGAATAGCGGTTCCGAATTCAAGTTGATTCTATTTCGCCTCTTCCTCAGAGAAAGACGATCAAACAATTCCCAATCATGGTCCTTGCGGATCGGATCATCTATACAATATACAAAAAGAAACTCCAGATATTTGATATCTTTCTCTTTGAATAAGATCTCAATTCCAGCGGTTTCATTAGATATCTTACAACTAGAATCCCTCTTTTTTCCGATCCAGTTCCTCCACCATCGCGAACCCCATTTAGATTCAAGAATGCTACACTTTTTAGTTATTGGGAGAACCCAAGTATTCTCTTTCGGATTCAAGAAACAAGTCTTAGAGATTTTTTTTCCTTTTGGAAGATACAGAAGCGAAACAATCAACCTATTGATATTGCAAGACCCAACCGATTCTTCTAATGTCTCATTTTCTGGTCCAATGAAATTCACAGGTATATGAAGAAGCCCCCTCAAATAGAGATTGTTTCTTTCGACCATATTTCGAGTGTTAATACGATATATAAGGACTGCTACTACAAAGAGTATTACACCCTTGATCGTGAAATTCGATTGCTTGTTGAACCATGTGAATTGCGTGAATGTAGGATCTGAAAATTCGGGGGTCTAAGATTTTTAGAAAACGTTCTTGGTGGGAAAAATGTGAATGAAAGACCCCACTGAATTGAATTGGGTCCATGAATCTAAGAAATAGTGAGAATTCTCGATCTCTCTTAATTCGAAAATCCAGGATTTAAATTGATGTCATTTCGATTCCTCCTAAATTGCATTGATTTATCTTAAAGATTTCATTTCAATTGTAATTTGATTATTCACCATGTACGAGGAGGATCCCCGCTAAGAATCCATGGCTGAATGGTTAAAACGCCCAACTCATAATTGGTGAATTCGTAGGTTCAATTCCTACTGGATGCACGCCAATGGGACCCTCCAATAAGTCTATTGGAATTGGCTATGTATCAATGGAATCTCATCATCCATAAATAACGAATTGTTGTGGTATATTCATATCATAATATATGAACAGTAAGAACTAGCATTCTTATTGAGACTAGAACTCATAGGCAAGGTTGTAAAAAGCGGTAATCGGGTCGGAGGCGGTCAGGGACCGACTCACGATTAATCGGTGCGGCGGTGATTAATCGGTTTTAAAATATAATATAATATATTTCTAGATATTATTTATAAGTACTCATATCCTTATAAAATATAAATAAAAAAGCAATTTTTTTGAATTTACATTTATTCTTGAACATTCCTAACATACATCAATAGTTCTTTAACAATAAAAGTTAACATAAACAAACTAAAACATAAGTTCATATTTTGTTTATTAAAATCCCAACTTTTATTTTGAATTATTAAAAAAAAAACGGATTTTTGGCCGATTTTTGCCACCAAAGTTTCACCCGCCATAAAGGTTTGACCGCCTCGGACCGCCTCAAACCGCCTAAAACCGCCTCACAGGTAAAAAACCGATTTTTCAAACCTTTACACTAATCGTAATGGTTTTTGACCGCCTCCGCCTCGGAGACCGATTAAGGCCGCCTCGACCGATTTGTAGAACACTGCTGATAGGAAAGAAAATTGATTTATGGATGGAATCAAATATGCAGTATTTACAGACAAAAGTATTTTGTTATTGGGGAAAAATCGTAATGTTGAATCAGGATTAACTAGAACAAAACTAAAGCATTGGGTCGAATTCTTCTTTGGTGTCAAGGTAATATGTGACACCCCTCTCTCGATTACCCTTATTATATGTAATCTCAGCGGAAGACTTTTGAAAACATGATTTTTGTGGATATAAATTTACGTGAAATTTTTTTTTCTTTTTAAATCAGAGGGAGAGAGGGCACAGCTTGCTAAACCCTAATCGATCAATTAACTCCAATGCATGCTAAATGCAAGACTAGAAAGTAACTAGGCATGATGGACTTAATGCAAATGCGGACAGATTCAATGCAGAAGCTTTAAAAATTAATTCCTCTTAAACCACTCATGCAAATAACCCCAAAATTATACCATACCATCTAACACGGGTCATAATCACTCAGTTAAAACAGTTTTGAAAGATGCTTGGCCATTTAGGAGAAATAAATAAAATGGCACAGTCACTCAGTTTAAAAATCCAGAACAGGGGAGGGAGTTTTGAAAATTCATAATAAATTCCTCACTGACCAAAAAACTACCAAATTTTACCCCAAGGCAGAAAGGTAAGTTGAAAACATTTTCCAAGTGGAAAAAAGGCATTTGAGTGAGTGAAACTCCAGTTATACCAGAAAACACCCGAATAACCCTGTTTCAATGCAGTAGTGAGAAACAAATCATAACTAAATAAATAATTACCCAAATCATGCACAAGACCTATCAATATGATGAGAACAGAGAGATGCAGAGACTCCTAAAATTTCATAATTTTCTAAGCAGAACACCTATATGAAAATGATTTTAGACCATGGAGGCAAAACACGAAGAAATTACTAGCCGAAAGCATGCATGCATATAAATAGTGAAAATTTACTTTCGCTTACAAAAGGCTACGGATTACCGATTAATTATCCAAAATAGGGTAATCCTAATTACTATTACACATATCGTCTTTTAATAATTTCCACCGATCGGAGGAAGCGACCGGTAGAAAATACCTAAAACCGTATCAAACGTTTTTATAAGCATATTATACGAATAAAACCACATAACTAGATTAAGAGCCAACACTATCCACAACCCCTCCATACGATCTCCTTCCGATTCTCGAGCTCGATCCCCAACTTCACTCCTCGGGCCCTAAATCGGGTATACCTACAAACATACAACACCTATATGAGTCTTTGAGGACTCAATGAGAATCTTGAAGTAATAGCAAATACACATAGCACATAGAGCATACATATATCTATACATATATATATACATACATATATCTTATACATGAACATACAACATGAAGTAAAACAATCATATACTTCCCTTTTTCGTCGGCGATCTTCATTCACATAATTGTCACCACGCATAGAGTGAGATAATTCCCACCTTTATAACCCTATGATCCCAAGACCATAGAGTGAGAATATCCCACCTTTATAACCCTATGCCATGACACGTATTGAAGATAATAGAAGGAATTTCCCACCTTTATAACCCTATGCCATGACACGTATTGAAGATAATAGAAGGAATATCATCAACACCATAATGCAACATGCATGACATGAAAAATTGTCGGGAATCCCTCGGAAGAGCCAATCTAAGTTACCGGTAAATAACCCCATATATTTCGAACCATGTCTAACTACGTGGGATCAAACCACCCCTAGGCCCTACGGTACCAGGCTCGCCGTACCCGAGAAATTTACCGTACCCTCGAAAGACTTTCCAACATAGTTTTATCTTTTTTTTTAAAATTCATGACACTTAATGCACCCACCCATGCACCCTTCTACTTACCCTTCTCTCATCCTTACACCCAATGATTCACATAAGCAAGCAAGAGCACATAGAAAATACACATAAAGTTTCACAAAATCATTTAATCATAAAAACATAGAAATAACCGAAATCTTAACATGCAAAAACAATCTAACATCAAAGTTCACTAGATCTAGCATTTTTCCAAGAATAAAATTCAAGACTTCCATCTTTACATTTATTCAAGAAAATACACTAGATCTTCACATGCAAGAGTATTTTAAATCAAATTAGCACAAATTCTTAGTTCTTAACCATTTTTCATAGAAAACACTAGATCTTAACATGCAAGACTTTAGATCAACCATCAATCACTAGATCTTAACATGCAAGACCTTGGATCAACAATCAATCACCAACCTTAACATGCAAGGCCTTAAAACAACAATCAACACAAGATCAACACATGCAAAACACAAAATAAACCACATAAGCAATTTTAAGCATTTTACCTCAAAAATTCGAAGTTCCGTAGTTAAGTCAAAAATTCATTTTCTTTTCAAAAATCAACAATCAAATACTAGATCAACACATGCAAGGCACTAATTAAGCCAAATAAGCCATTTAAAACATTTTTCCCCAAAAATCCGAAAGTTTCATGGCTAGGCCAAAAATTCATTTTCTTTCCAAAATTCAACAATCAAACACTAGATCAACACATGCAAGGCACTAATTAAACCAAATAAGCCATTTAAAACATTTTTCCCCAAATTTTCGAAAAATCATAGAATTTCAAGAACAAGGTTATCTTTTCAAAACACTAACATGTAATCATCATCTAAACCATATAATCAAATAATATGCAAGAATCAACAAATAAATCACATAAAAATACATAAAAACACATAAAAAAACATAAAAACCGAAAATACTAGTGGTGTTGTATGTTTGAGCAAGAATTCAAGAATTCTCACCTATACTCTTTAGGGGAAGGATTTGTTAGCTCTTTTCTCTCTAATACAAGAAGAGATAAAGAATTAGATTACAAAACAATATGAAGAAGGAAGAGAGGAAATTTTCGAAGAAGAGAGGAGATGAAGCTCTTAAATTCAAACTCAAGAATCTCTTGAAGAAAATATTTTGAGCTTCTTCTACTACTAATTTCGAAAATGGAAGAAGAAAGAAGAGAAGAGAGATTTCTTAGGATTGTAGTGGGGAGATGAGAAAACACTTGGTAATGGGTTCTATTTATAGAATGAGGAGGCTTGCAACCTTAATGGGTAAGTATTGAGGAGGGGCTTCTTGGCAATTAAATCTTTAGGTGGGTTGGGGGTGATTTTGCAATTTTCGAAAATGGGAGTGGTGGTGGTTCTTGGGTGGTTCAAGCTTGAGAAAATGGTGGCTATGGTGGTGGTGGTGTGGCTGCCGAAATGAAGAGGAAGGAGGGAGAAGAAGAAAGACCTTTGGTCTTACTTAAAGTGGAGTGAAAAGCATGCCTAGTCTATAAAGTAGGGGACTAGGCTTGGGTATTTCTTTCTATGCTCAAAGTACAACCACACTAATGCATGTTTTTCTACCAATTAATATGCAAAATTTATAAATCATGTGTGTGTGTGAGGTGTCCGAAAATTCAAGAAATGTGGGGAGGATTTTCAAATTTTCGACATTAATTAAAAATCCTAAAATGCATGATAAAAAAAATTTATTTTCTAAAATTTTGTGCATGCATAAATATGATGAAATGCTCATTTAAATTACATGCAAGAATAAAATCCTAGTTTATGAAAAATAATTTATTTCGACATACTATTTCGAAATATTTCCTAAGCACATAATTCACATAATCACCTAATTCACATAAATACTAATCATGCAATAATTATTATAAATTCTAATTTCACAAATATGCACATAGAGTTGGTAAAATAAAATAACATCATGTTACCGGAAAGGCGGGGTGTTACAATCTTCCCCCCTTAAAAAAATTTTGTCCCCAAAATTTGTACCTTTTTCGATTAGTTCCGGATAACGACTCACAATCTCATCCTCAAGTTCCCACGTTGACTCATCCGGAGAATGGTTTTTCCAAAGGATTTTGGCTAGGCGAATTTCTTTGTTTCGGAGTTTCCTAACTTTTCGGTCTAATATTTGGGAGGGTTCTTCGGTAAAGGATAGGTTCGGGGATAAATCAAGGGGTTCGGTTTCAAGGATGTGATTAGGGTTGGGAATATATTTTCGGAGCATGGAGACGTGAAAGACATTGTGGATCTTGGATAGTTGAGGCGGTAGGGCGAGGCGATAGGCTTGGCCACCAATTCGGTCGAGTATTTCGAAGGGTCCAATGAATCGAGGGCTTAATTTTCCTCGTTTTCCGAATCGCATGATTCCTTTGAGTGGAGCAACTTTCAAGAATACGTGATCACCGGCTTGGAATTCCAATTCTCGTCTTCTTTTATTTGCGTATTTTTGTTGGCGATCTTGGGCGGTTCTCATTTTCTCTCGAATATTCTTGATTATGTCGACGGTGTGTTGGACTAGCTCGGGTCCTAATAATCTTCGCTCTCCTACTTCGTCCCAATGGATTGGAGAACGGCATTTTCTTCCGTACAAGGCTTCGTAAGGTGCCATTCCGATCGAAGATTGGAAGCTATTGTTGTACGAGAATTCGATGAGAGGTAGACGGCTTTCCCAATTACCACCAAAATCCATTATACATGCTCGAAGCATGTCTTCGAGGGTCTTGATTGTCCTTTCCGATTGTCCATCGGTTTGGGGATGGTATGCCGTGCTAAAGGCTAGACGGGTTCCCATCGTTTCGTGCAATCTTTTCCAAAATTTGGAAGTGAATCGGGGATCTCGGTCGGAGATGATTGATATCGGAACGCCATGGAGTCGGACGATTTCTCCGATATAAAGTTCGGCCAACTTTTCGAGACTAAAAGTGGTCTTGACCGGTAAGAAGTGTGCGGACTTAGTTAGGCGATCGACTATCACCCATATTGAATCGGATCCCTTAAGAGTCTTCGGGAAACCTTGAACAAAGTCCATCGTTACTCTTTCCCATTTCCATTCGGGAATAAGGTTGGATTGTAGAAGTCCACCGGGCCTTTGGTGTTCCGTTTTGACTTGTTGACAAATTAGGCATTCGGATACGTATTTGGCTATATCCTTCTTCATGCCTGGCCACCAGTACAACTTCTTCAAGTCT